ACTGGACTGACTCAGATTTTGGATTTTCGACCTTCGAACTGGACGGACTCGAATGTCGGATTTCGACATTCGAACTGGGCTGACGCGAATGTCTTATTTTCGACATTCGAACTCGGCGTAAAAATTCGAACAGTTCGGTTCGATTTATTTTGCACAGGTCTAATAATATTACATAAAAAATAACATTTTTTAGGAAAGTTTTATGATAAAAATTCTATTTTATAATAATAATATTTTTTTTAATGTAGGACTCTAAAAATTAAAAAAGAATTAATCGGAATTCCGTTACAATATTGTCGGAATTTTAATGGAATCTCCAGGGGGAGATTATATAACTTTTTCCGGATCCCACTTTGCGAACACCACATTCCAAAAACCTTTACACTCCAAGCTCAACATTCCAAAATCCGCCCACTCTAAGCACAACATTCCAACCCCTCCTACTCCAAACTCAACATTCCAAAACCTCACTTTCTGGATTGCATATTCTGTGTTCCACATTTTGGATTCCACAATTCGTACTTTAGATCTTATATAAGAATACGGAAAGTGGGATCTGGAATATGGAATCCGGAATGTAGAATCCAAAACGTGGTATTCGCAATGTGGAATTAAAAGAAAAAAAAACGTAATCGACTCCCTGTCTCTAGGTCAATGTTTTCCGTGTTAAATAATTACTTTTTATACTTACTTGAAATAAAACTTCATCAAAAATTTTATCTACCGTCTTTATTTACTTTAAAAAAAAAAAACTTTACCCGGCAAAAGTAAATTTTCTATTGAATTATAAAATGAGATTTTATTATTACGGAGGTAATTTAAAAATCAGGCAATTTGTCTGAAACTCAATTTCTAATTGTAAGCCTTTTAACACCTACGTCAGTCGATTTCCTGTTTCCGCGCGTGCATCAAAGGTGCTGACAAAGTTACATTATTGGGTGCTTCATCGTCAATGTGATTGATGTGAGTAAATAATTGACTAAAGGTTTTTTTTCAAAGAGAACACAGAAATAAGGATACAAACTTCACTGTTAATTGTAAAGATAAGAATTTAATTTTAGAATCAGTCAATAACCTATAAAAGATTTAAAACTTGCAAAGATCGATTTATTGAAATTTGTTTTTTAAAACATTGAAAAACAGAAGGCAAATTTGTTTCTGCATGATTCGTAATTTAAAAAAAAAACCCTAAAATATTGAGATGAAAATAATCATTAAAAAGATGGAGGAAAAAAATAAATGTATAATTATAAAATTAGTAAATTACCAACTATACTAACTTAATTTAATTAAACTTGTAATTAATTAATAAAATTAAACTACTAATTACAAATGTAAAATTAATTCAAGAATAATGAATTATGTTATTTAAAATTGTTTTTCCTTTTAAGTTTAATTGTTCCAAATTAAAAATTATTCTTTACATTTGTTATTTGTTATTTGTAAAACTACTTTTATATATTATTGAAATGTGCAAATTCACGTGAAAACGTGAAATCATCATTTAATGAAAAAAAAAATCAATTGAAATCTTTTTTATAACATCTTTAAGCAAATTGTCAGTGTAAACTTTTGCAATCGTGCATTGAATACCTCTTTGCCCCCTCACGTGACAATCAAGATAAAATCGAAGAATAATAGGTAAAGTTGGTCACGTGTATGTATAGCTCTCGAAAACGTGCTAACGTTATCAAAGCCACGAAAAGTCTTATACTTGTTGCTGGGATTTGCCTTCAAATTTCACCAAATCTAACACAAATTGTATTACAAATCAATTTCATATTTAATTTAATTTTTTTTAATCGAAAATTATACTACTTTTTCAGTGAATTGCATTGTTTTTGTACCTAAAATAAATGTGAAATTTTATTTGTTACTTAATTTTTGTCAAAGTTAACAGCATTAGGTCACGTGATCGTCACAATGTTAATTTTTCGACCACTTTTCTCGTAAAATACTAAATGAATTTAGTTGATATTTTGTGTGAAAGTATAAAATATGATAAATAACTGTGATGTGTGAAAATTATGTTTTTTGTTGAATTATTTATAATAAAATACCTGGAAATTGTAACAAAATTTGAGGTTAAGAATGACATCACTATTCAGATTTTCTAATGATTTCAAAGTATTTTATAATAACTAATTCAACAAATATTACAATTTTCGCAAATCACAGCCCTTCATTATCATATAACTTAGATTTCTTTATAAAATATCAACTTAATTCATTTAATATTTTACGAGAAAAATTATCAAAAAGTTAAGATCACGTGACTTAAAAATTACATGCTGTTGAAAAAGATACTATATATTAAATTCAAAGAGACAATTACAAATTATATAATTTTTTACCTACGTATAAATACATTTAAAAAGATAAATGACTGCATTGGAAAAATAAGATATAAGCTCGAGATAAGAAAGTTGTAATTACTTTGGTAAGGTCAGTTTATTTACCATTATATACTTTTACCAATAGATCAGAAAAAACGATGAGAATGATAATTTTTTAAAAGTGTAATTAGTGCAGTGGAAATTTATTTTATTAGAAATTTATTGTATGATTTTCAATAATTTTCTTTTTAATTAAATTATTATAAAATAATAATTTTTTAAACTGATTAATTTTTAGTTATTAAAAGTTTTACAAAATAATGAGAAAATTAAATGTAGAAATTCATAAACGGAAACAATTTAATTGCATATAAATTGAAATTAATTTTCATTTTACTAAATTTTGATGCTTATCGTTTATTTCAATGTAAATGAAAATGATTTCAAGAAAATTGGCAAAATCAATTCTTAGTTGATTGATAATTTAATACGCATATAGTTTTAATTATGAAAATATTTGCAATATATGTTGTAGTTAACAAAGTAATTATAATGGAAAAATTATAAAATTAATTTTCAATTAAAGAAAATTAAAGTTTTAAATTCAATTAAATGTTTAATGAAAAAAGAATAAAATTTTTTAAAAAAGTTAATTATTGCATACTAAAATTATTTTGCTCAAGATAAATATTTTAATTAGAAAACATAATTAAAATCAGTGACAAATTTATTCCGAAAGAATAAGTAAGAAGATTAAAGAATTTGTATACCGCTTACTAAACAAAACGTGTTTAATTTTTAGTTTAATACATTGTTTCAAATTTTGTATAATCTCATTCAGTTATTTAAGGTTTTTTTTTTATTATTGATTTAAAAAACGTAGAATAAAATGAAATTACTTATGAACGTAATGGTATTACCTACGAAAGTAATGAAATTACAATTCGTATATGAGCCTTTTACTTTGTTTGGATAAAATTAACGATTGCTTTGAAATGTGGTTGTATATCTCATTTAATGAAGTATTTTCCAATTCAATAAGCAATTTTGATCAATTTTTTTTTCTTTTATACAATAGAATAGAAAAGAAATTTCCAATAATTGCTCTCTACTGAATTCATTCATCAGATATTTGAGATTGAGAATAGTTTTTCACTTTATATGTTCCAGAAAAAATTGTAATGAAATTTGACTTAAGAAGATTCACATTATTTGAATTTTATACAGAAAATTTGAAAATAAAAGATGAACTCGCGTGAAATTATCACAGTAACATATTAAAACAATGGCTTTATGAATTAATGAATGAAGTATTTTACAGAAATGTTTAATGCATATTCTTTTGAAATAAAACCTATTAATTTATTTTTGTAGCAATTTCATTAAATAATGAATCATTACACTTTCAATGAAAAATAAAATTCATCGTATTTTATGGCAAGTTTTTTTTTTTAATTTACCAAGAAAAATGCCAAGAATATTTAAGAAATCATTGTTATTTAAAATTCATATTATCATATAATTTGTTTCATACGTAAAGTGCAAGAATTATAATCTTATAAATATAGTAGCCAAGATAATTTTCTCATCAGAATCAATCAATGCTTCATCATTATTTTCTGTGTTTAATTTAATTTGAATAACGTGAAATAACAGTTGAAAGTACAAAATAATTCTTCACAAATACATTCAAATTGAATAAATCAAATTTCTTAGAGTTTATAAAATAATTGAATGATTTTAAAAAATTTTTATTTATATTTTTAATACCAAACAAGTAAAATATAAAAACTTAAAGAAAAGCATTTTAAAAATTTTAATTTCTTTTCTGTTTAATTTTTCTATTTTCTTCTTATCTTCAAAATTTAATTAATACGTTTATCACGATTTACATTTATAGTTTTATCTTATTTTCCATAAAAAAAAACGTTTTTACACACCCTGAAAAATAAAAAGATGACAAAAGAAAATTTAGATTTTATTTCCTCAAATGAATTAAATTTTGAGGAAGGATTGAGAACTTTTCCCCCTTAAAAATGTGACGAATACAATTTTGTGAGTAATTTGTATTTTCAATTTTAAGACGTACTATGACCTGTTTTACTACCATGACCTACTTTGAATATTTTCATTTTTATCACTTCTGAGCATTTATCTTATCATCTAGACACCATCTTTGATAGAATTATATAATACTTTTGTAAAATTTTTCTTTTATCGTCAATTACTTCATTTAATAATTTAAAATTCCTCTCTCTCTCTCTCTCTCTCTCTTTTGAAAAAGTGATAAATTCTCTTTGAAAAAGCATCACAGTACCCTGAGTTTTAATGCTCATATTAATTATGTTTTATATAATAAATCTACTTTTTCGTGGCATAATAGAAATTGTGTTACATGAATTTATAACAACAAGCTTTCATCTCTGTTAACTTACAACTTCAAACAAAATTAAAATCTTCTTACTTTTAAATCACGAAAATTATATTTAATACACGCGTTATGATTAATTAAAGTGAAATCTCAAATAATCAAATAGTAAATTTTACTTTTGACAATAAAAACCTCTTTTTTACGTACACAAAGTAAAGCAAAAAAATTTTTCCATTTAAAAATTATTTTAATTTATTTTAATGAAAAACAAAATTCTCTTTTTTTGAGTAAAAAAAGAAGAAATAAATATTATCGGAATAATAAGATTTCATTATTGGAACAAAATATTTTTCCATCTCACTAAACATTCAATTTATTTGTGTTCTGCATTTAAATCGGATTAGAATAATTCAATAAAATTACGTGCAAGAAAGATTATTGGTTTATATAAATACATATATACATATATAAATTTTCCATTTTACTTCGTGGAAATATTTACGCGATATATAAAGTCATATTTGATAAAGTATACATTATATACATTATATTTGCTTTTATTTTATATGATGAGAAATTTATTTTATATGTATATATAAACAAATAGGAAATCTCTGTTTGTAAATGAATTTCCTTGAATAATTAATGCAGTGAAAAGGTATAAGCGCATGGAAAGTGATGAAACATAGTGTGTATTGAGTGTAGAATTTAACTGCGGGTAAATGCAACTTCCACATTACATATAATGTCGTGAGCACACATAATATACCTTCAGGGAACATAGAGTCACGGAGACGTGACAGTAAATGTTATATAATCCCGTGAAATGTATGACAAGCAGCATTTGAGTGATAAGAATATTTCTAATACCATTTAAGCTCTACGTTCACATACAATTCATAGTCAAGTAAAGCGTTTAATTTTCCCCTACACTCCATATGAATATAATATATGTATATTTCAAAACCAAAGTCAACATTTTATTCATCATTTATATTTTTAAGCCAATATTTATAATAATGGTAACAAAAAAAATGGCAAATTATAAATATATTTCAATTTCAATAATTTTTTTTTCGCAACTTTATTTTATCAACTAATTAAATGGATCGTGAAATTTTTTTTTTAATATTTCACAAAAAAAGAAGACATTTTTTTAATAAAAATATATTTTTTTGTTGACAAATTAATTGAAAAGAAACTAACAATTTAGATTTTCGTGAATTAATTTTTGCAGAAAATTAAATGATAAAAATATTTTTTGTTGTACCTTTATTTTATGAAATGTAAATGTAAAATTATGTAAATAAATTTTTGAGACCTTGTGCGGTAATAATAAGTTTAAATAAAAACAAATTTTAGAATAACAATCTTTGCTGAAAACTTTTGGCAAACAACGTAAAAGCACAATACCATCAAAAGAAAAAAAGTAAATGAAACAAAGTTGTAACCATGTTTCAAGAAGTTACGAGAATACAAGAATAAAACAACTGGTTAGAACTTGAAAATGATATATATATATATATATATATATATATATATATAAATACAAGTAAGTGAAAGTTGGGATAAAATTTTTAAAAACACTGAAACTTCATATTAATATTAATAAAATAATTTTCTCAATGTCAACATTGAGGGTCAGCCGGGGTAAATCCGAACGCTTTTAGTACGTTTCAACAATAACATAAGTTTTATCTTTTAAAAGACAATACTTCCGGTATTCTGGTGCATGAAGTTGTTACTTAACTTCCATAGAACAATTTTATGGGGTAGCAAATTTTTTTGATAAATTACAATCGCAGGAAACTTAGCGTTCGTATTTACCTCGATACTTTGCAACTTACCTAAAATACCGGGGTAAATACAAACACCACTGTATTTCAGAAAAATCTTAGGGAAAATAAATTTAAAGTATTGCAGTTGTTAAACTTATATAAAAACTCAAAAGAAAATACGATAATAAACTTATTATGTAATAATGCATCATATATAAATGCAAAAACCCTAGAATACCAAATTTTATTAAGATCCTGAAAAACTTTTTTCAACAAACCATTTGGCAAAAAAAGTGGAACACTCCTTCGAGTGAACAGAGATTAAATTTTTGCTTATTAATGACTAACGAGGATACATATAGAAAGAAAAACTTTTTTCTATGTACTTTTATAATGTTAAAATAATAGTGTAATCAAATAAAAACAATTTTGTGTTTAATAAAAACCCTGGTTTTCCAATTTTCCGGGGTAAATACGAACAGTCTGATATTATTAATAAAATTTTACAGAAGGCAAAAATCAAAAATAGTTTCTGTTCTAGTATTCAAAACAAACAATTATAAATAATAAAATGAATTTTTAGCTTCTTTTTCTTCAAATACGAGATAAAATACTGTGTCATCTTTGATTTTCAATCTTTTTTGCAATACTCGTTATCTTTGTTTATGCTGTTGCTAATTTATCAAACGAAAAATGGGATAATACTTAGAATCTCTTGAAGAGGATCTGAGGTAAAAATTCTCATGTCTAACTTATTTTGTAAAGTTTTAATTAAGCTGAAATAATTAGCGTTCGGATTTATCCCGGCTGACCCTACTTTTATAATAATATTCTATAAAATTCATCTCTTTCAACAAATCACATTAATTTCCACAGAATTAATTCTCTACATGTTTCAATGAATCGTATTTTAAAAGACACTAATCCGAAAAATTAATTAACGAAAATCCTATTTTGCAAATCCTCATTTTTCATACAGCTTATACTCAATATATAAATGTAAAATTTTCGATTAATTCAAAGGAAAAAAAACAGAGAAAGAGAAACTATTCCTAGTCATTAATTTTTGAGAAAACGCATTCATATTTTAAAATTGGATAAAATATTTATAAATTAAAGACAATTTCTGTCATGTAAAACATTTTAAATGAGGAGCAAATTTTCAAAACTTGATAAATCCATTTTTCAAAAAAATGGAGATAACCATAAATTTAATATTTTAAGGACCTCACAAATCGATCTGTCACTGTTAAATTTAAGAAAAAAAATTTATTAATTACAAATTTTTTATTTAAAAACTTATTGACATAACCAAGATGATTTACAATTTGTATGTTTTGTATTAGAAAAAATTACCAAAACCTGTAAATCACTCAATTATGACAAAGTTCAATTAGAAACATAACGTCTTGAATATAAAAACATTGTTATAGAAATAAATTATTTTAAATTTTTTATTTTAAAATTAACTCTAGTGGTTATGTGTGGAAAGTCATTTGTTTGAATTTCTCGAAATAAGAAAATATGGATTTATCAGGTTTTGAAAACTTGCTCCTCAAATTATCTCGATTTTGGTTTATTAATAAAAAAGAAGACAGTTGCAGTTAGACAAAACGTTTTAAATTTTCAACATTATCAAACTATTAAAAATTTGAGTATAAGTAGTACAAGTAAATTTTAGTCTGAATATTTTTAAAAATGTTACTTTAAACATTGAAATGGGGTTTTTAAAATTCATGATTTTTTCACGCTTCAAAAAGAGGAAAAACATATTTAAAAAATATAATCAAATTTTATTTTTTAAACAAATTGTTTAAAAATTAATATTCTTTTTAGAAAATAATTTTTATTTAAAAGTTTAAGGTCTTCTGTGTAAAAAAACATTCTTAACATTTTTTTCTATTTTTAATAAAGAAAAAGTTATAAGTGAAGCAAAAAAATATTTTTAAAATTTTTTACTGTAAATTTCTGCAAAAATATTAAAAATTTTAAATTCATTTGTACTTTTATTTAACACCAGTATCACTACAATTTATCGAATATTGAAAAAAATTGGAGAAATGTCCCCGTCTATTCATATGAAATGTCTCAATTATATTTCTAGAATATTGTCAATCAATTTAATTAACTATTTTTTACGTGTCATAAAGATATGACATATCTTTTTAAGTTTCAAGGCCGACACCAATTAGATATTAATTAAATTGATCATTGATTTTTGTATTAGTAATATGAAAAAATAGACTATTCAATTCTTGTAATTTTTTTATAGCATTACTAAAAATAAGTTTCAGACAAATAGAACTGTACATTTTGTGTCACTTTGAGGTAATATTAAAAGTAAGTTTTTGTTTTTTGTTATTTAAGTGTTTAAAGTCCTTTAATTTCAGTGACAGTAGTTATAGTAAATTTTAGTCGGACAGAAATCTGACTAAATGTAATGATCTCAAAAATCTAAAATTTTAGAAAAGTTTTGCTCAGTTTTACTACTAATAGTAAAAATACTAGAGTTTAAACACTTTCGGCCGACAAAAATTCACTTTTACTACAGATACAAAATTTTAAAAAATTTAATTAATTCTTCAAAAAATTTTATCTCTATGGTTCCGTTCACGCAGTGAACCGAAACGGAACCTTTATGGTTTCACTCATGTCCGTCCATAAAATCATACCCCCCTCTAATACCTAGCGATTTTAACCGATTGAGCTCCAACTTGGTATACATACGTATTTTTGCAAGTAGATTAAACAAAACTTATAGCGAATCCAATTGAAATTGAATTTACTTATATTCCAGAAACTTGATATTTCGGAAAAAAGCGAGTCCTACCCCGTTTTAACTTTTACAGTATCAGAGCTAAAAAACTGAAACTTGGTACACATATTTAATTACACGTGTAGATTTCACGAAAAATATAGCTAACCATTTTGAAGTTGACTTAAATATTACCTCGCTTCAAAAACTCAAAATTCCTGAAAAAAAGCTTAAAATTCCTTTTTATCTTAACTTTAACAATTTTTTAGCAAACCATCTCATACTTTCTACATTATTACATACGTATTATAACGTTGATTTTAATTTATTATTGATTTTTATTCTTAATTATTTATTATTTTATTTTCAAGACAATCAACGTTATTTACCATTTTTAATTATTAATTTTGTCAAGACGCCAAGTTTTTTTTATGGAAAATAACTAAACCAAAAAAAAATAGTTAAATAACCCGACAAGTAAATTTTATAATTCTAATTAGGAAAAACTAAAACCAGCTCAGGAATTCTATTGTTACTTTACAGCAAAAATAGACCGCGGAAAGAGGGGATAAGGATAAACACCATTAACGAGACAAAATTTGTAACAATAACACGATTTATTAATAGTCACTTCAAATTTTAGAAAAAGTTAAATAATGACAGAAGGACGAAAGACAAGATTTATATTTTGTTTATTCAATTATACTTTAATAATATTGAGATCGAATCTGAACGAAATCGACTCATAATATATAATTGAGGACTTACC